AACACTTCTTTGGGCAAGAGGCTCCTCCACAGATCGTTCCTGGACAATCCCATCACTATTCCTGGCTTCTGCTGAGATGGCTGAGGGAATTAATGACATACATGCCTAAACTCCTCAAGTCAAATATCTAACCCTTCTGTATGGCTAAATAATCTGAACTTTTGATTCTTCAAGGCACTAGCAAAAGGATGTGCAGCCACATCCTTGGTTTTCTCCCCAGAGCACTTTTTCCTGACAACCAATTTCCTAATTGTAGTGTCTTTGGCTGGAAATATTGCAAATCATCAATCCTCACTTCTTTTTGTTTAACAGTTCTTCCCTTAATCTACATTTTCCATCTCATTTTACTATAAGCAGCAAGAAGAAACCAGGTCCTACTTCTAGCACTGCTGGGAAATCTCCTCAGCTAAAGTCTCTGTTCACTGATGCAAGTTCTGCTTTCTACATAACTACAGAACATAATTCTGCTAAGCCTTCTGTTGCTATAGAATAAGGATTGCCATTTTCCTAGTTTTCAATATCATGTTTCTCATTTTTTTCTTAGCCATCACCAGCAACACCTTCAATGTCCACATTTTAACCAACAGTATGCTTATGATCATTTAAATATTTTCAGATACTGCAGGTTTTCTCTACTCAGCTCCTCACTTCCCTCTGAGTCCTTATCAGCAGAGCTGTTAATATCTGCATTTCTACTAACAGTCTGTTCAAGATAATTAGGCTTTTTCTATCATGCTCCTTAAAATTTTTCTACGCTATGGCCACTACTGAATTCCAAAGCAACCTCTGCATTTTTAGGTGTTTACTACAGTACCATTTACAAGTATAAAAATTTATCAGTCAGGGTTACACCAGAGAACAGAACCAGTAGGAGATAGTTATTAAGAGATTTATTGCAAGAATTGGCTTACATGACTGTGGGAGCTGACCAGGTATGTTCAAAATATGTAAGGCCATCAGGAAGGGCAGACTGGAAACTCTTGGGCATGCGGTACATCTACTCTCCATAGGCAAAATTTTTTTTTTTAGGGAAGCCCCAGTCCTGCTCTTAAGACCTTTCAACTGATTAGATCAGGTCCACCCAGGTTATTAGGATCATCTCCCTTACTTAAAGTCAACAACTGATTTTGGACTTTAATTACATCTATGAAATACCTTCGCAGCAACACACAGTTAGTGTATGATTGAATAGCTGAGCTCTGTGGCCTAGTCAAGTTGACACATCAGACTGACCACTAGAGCTTCTCAAGCCCTGGCGCTGAAGTTGCCCAGTATCTCTTCTGCTGCCTTCCGTTGGTCAAAGCATGTCACAGGCCAGGCCAAAGCTGATGTGGGAGCTGACTTAGACCCCTGCTTGATAGGAATAGTGGCAAAGGACTTTTAAAACTTTTAATCTGTCACAACCTGTACATCATATTTAGAACACATGTTATGCATGGTGAGCATTCAATATATTATGATTATGATTTCAAAACTACTCTTAACTATGACTTGATATTGTTGGATCTGGATAATTTAAATATGGGTATTCATTTAACTATTATTTGGGATATGTTTTAAATTTTGCATAATAAAAAGTAAATAAGGAGGCCGAGGCAGGCGGATCACGAGGTCATGACATAGAGACCATCCTGGCCAACACAGTGAAACCCCGTTTCTACTAAAAATACAAAAATTAGCCGGGCATGGTGGCACGCACCTGTGGTCCCACCTACTCAGGAGGCTGAGGTGGAAGAATCGCTTGAACCCAGGAGGTGGAGTTTGCGCCAGTGAACTTCAGCCTGGCGACAGAGCAAGACTCCCTCTCAGAAAAAAGAAAAAAAAGTAAATAAAAAGTAAAAAAAAACACAAAACTATTAATGTAACCTTTTTTCTTTCCTTTTAACTTTCTCCTTCCTTTTAAATTTTGATTTCATTTTCTTCTCTTTTGTCTCCCAATTCATTGACACTTGCTTTTCCTGGCCATCTTTCTCTATCTTAAAAAACTTGTAGGATCGATGGTTGCACCTGCGATGACTGTGCTTCCAGAGAGGCAGTGCCAGGCAGTAAGGATGTGGGAGAGGGTAAAGTCAGCGCAAAGGCCTCCAAGAAGGGCAGTCAGGTGAGAAGACAGAAAGAGAGGCTCACACAGATGGTGAAATGAGGCAGTTGTGCTAAACACTCACCCAAAATTTCCTTTGGCCCCCACAGTTCTTGAAAATCATTTCAAAAATCATTTCCAGAAAAATAAGGTCTTGTAGTGCTGCTGTCTTTGACTACTAATCAAAGAACCAAGGTGGAGAGGTAGGGGCAAACTAGGGAGAGGAAGATGCAAAAGAAAGAAAACGGATCATGAATTTACCACACACAGAATCAGGCATTCCCAGGTCTGAGACCATGAGTAGTTTCTCTCTATGGCTGGGACCTGGGGCCTGGAACCTGACCTCATGTTTCTGGCATTTCATAATGAAAAGGTGAAGGAAGTACAAAGACTAAGACAACTTATTGATTTTTCCTCTTCCCTATCTAGTTATCTTTCTGTTTACCTCCTGGGACTTTCGTTTTTCTTCTTATCCTTCTACTGACTATTTCATTTTTGCTAACATTTTAAAATTTCTAAGATCTCTTTAAAAAATGTCTCTGAATTTTTTTTGTTAGAATAATCCATTGCACTTTACAGTTGAAACATCTCTGAACTCTCTAAAGGAAGATGCCAATAACCTTTTTTGTTGTTGTTGTTGAGACGGAGTTTCCCTCTTTCGGCCCAGGCTGGAATGTAGTGGCTTGATCTCCGCTCACTGCAACCTCTGCTTCCCAGGTTCAAGCGATTCTCCTGCCTCAGCCTCCTGGGCAACTGGGACGTGCCACCACTTCCGACTAATTTTTGTATTTTTAGTAGAGGCAGGGTTTCATCATGCTGGCCAGGCTGGTTTTGAACTCCTGACCTCAGGTGATCTGCCCACCTTGGCCTCCCAAGTGCTGGGATTACAGGCGTGAGCTACGGCACCTGGCCAATAACCGTTCTCTTGAAGATTTATTCTCCCTGCTTTGTTTGTTTCTTCAGATTATTTTGTTCTGTTTGTTTTGGATTCTACTCTCATGATAGAGGCTTTCTAGCTGTAGGTACTTGGTTTCAATTCAAAGAAGAGTTCTAATAAGCTGATTGGAGGCTAGGGATTTTAGGGGTTTAAAAATTTTGGCCATTTTATTTGGGAAACTGCCACTGTCAGTATCTTTGAGTCTTTCCTCTTGGGCTGATCGGATCCTTCATGCAAAGATCTAATCTGGGCATTAGACCAGAGCTGGCCAATAGACCTTTCTGTGATGATGAGAGTGTCCTAGATCTGCTTGTTCCATATGGCTATTGAGCACTCTAAATGTGGTTAGTGTGAGTGCAGAACTGAATTTTAAATTTAGTGTTCCTGAGAGGCATTGGCACATAAATGTTCATTTAATCTCCTTTTTTTTAGTATAATATTTTCATCTTCAACTGTAGCTGATGTTCCTTTCCAGAAAAGAAATCCCTCAGTCTTTTGCCAGTACTGGGAGATGACTCACCTGGCCGGGCTGAGCAGGGGATGGCATCTAAGAGCATGACTCCTTCTAGAGCATCTTCTGTTTAGCCTCACTTTCATGCCCAGTCCCACAAGTATCTAGGCTGACAATTACAGGGCCTTTGGAGGTTGCTTCTTGGTTTTCTCCATGCTGATTAAGATTAGGATTTCTTGATTTTTGGTGTCAGTCATCCTTGCTCCTCTGGTTCCCAACTTTCAACATTTTGTTCCTAATGTTTCCTCTGCTTTCTCTTTGTCCTTGTGGGTTTATAAAGTTTTAAAATTTTCTTTAGTGTCATAAATGAGATTTCAGGAGGGAGCAAAAGTGGATGAGTAGGTCCAGTCTTCCATCTTTAGCAGGAAATTCCTAAATGACCTAATTTATAAGTTGCTATATTATAAGATAACTGTATCATATAATCTCACAATTCTGAATAGTCTAAAGATCATGCAATGCTCTTATCTATCCAGTTTGCTTTGTCAATGTCTCTGTGAGTGAGTGGAAAACAAAGAATGATAAAGATGAGGAAGATAATTACCAAATGTTGAGCCTGTACAATCTTCCGAGCAAGGGTGTTCAATGGGTATTATGATAACTTTCCCATTTTACAGATGACGAAACTGAATCTTAAAGTTAGGTTGTGGAATTGAGGTTTGCACACTGATCTGCTAGACTGTAAATTTCTTGCTCTTAATCAATGATCTATCCTGGTGTGAGACGATCTGGATTAGGATCCCGGGTCTGACAACTTAGTCAATAAAAATTAATATTAATTGAAAGCTTATTAAATACCAAAACATTTCTAAACATCTTCCCTATATTACTTCATTTCCCTTATACCAACTCTGTAATATAAGTACTATCTTTTTCCTATTTAACAGATGAAGAACTGAGGCATGGAGGAGGTGAAGCAACTGTCCAAGGTCACACAGCCAGCAGGTAGCAGAACTGAAATGGGGATTCCATTCCACTCTCGACTCATTCCAGTAGAGTCAAGTCTTAGGAGGCTTATTGGTCAAATGAAGACAATGATAGCTGCCATCTCTGGTATCTGCTCCACCGAATTATTGTGAGCATCATATTTAACATGTAAAAACATTTAATAAATCAATCTACAGTGAGAAGGCATTGTTGCTCTCCTTCTCAAGCAAAGACTTGAAGCCAGAAATCCTTCTGATCTCTGGCCAAATACACTGAACATGAAACCCTTAATTCCACTCGTATCTCCAGGACATCTTGGTTTTCATTTTTGTCTGTCTCCTGTCCTTTACTAGTTGTAGCTCAAAGGTGAAGATGAGTCTTGGATTTCCATAAGTTTAAACTATCTTTTCTCTCTGGATGTTTGGGACATTCTTACAAATATATGAAGCAGAAGCCCATCAGTGTGGGCATAGATTCCAAGCATTACTGACAGCCCTGCACCCTAAGTTCTCACTGTGGTTACCACATCAGCCCTGTTTCAACCTCAGTTCAACATCTTGCACTGCAAACTTTTCTATGGGTTCTTGGGACAAAAACCAATTGCCCTTGCCTCCTGCCCCCAAGGGTTGGTTCCATTTGTCAAGTCAATGGGGGTGCCCATTGAGATGCCCTCTGTAGAGTCATCTCCCATCTGTTTATCTCACATTCCAGGCTCCAGAAGACGTGACATGAATTTGTATAACATTCGTATTGGGGACGCTGTCAGATATCCGAGTGCACGTGCCCACTGTTCTTGTGGTTATGGAACTTATTAGGATTTATTAATTTTAAAAAGTCAGCTCTTTTCTTCCAGAAATAAGCCTTCCAAAAGGTCAGCTTGGTTTTAATTAAGAGTGAATCTTCTTTTGCAGGTTTAACTGTGAGTCCAAATGGCTGCGTTGACGGGATCCCACGGCAGTCAGTACCGCAGTGATTAGTAGACAGGAAGGCTCTGTGTTCAATAGGGTTCAACTGCTTTAATGAGAGGAAAGTTCCTGCTGGTGAAAGACATTTGCTGCAGCTTTTCCACGGAGGGGGCAGTGGTGAGTGCTGTGTGCTGTCCTCTCCATCATCCTGTCTTGCTCACTCTGTGCCCCTTCTTACTCTCTTTCTCTTCCATTCTGGTTTCCTTTCTTTGGTGGCTCTCCCTTCCACTCCTCCCTGGGGAAGGAGACTGAAAATCTCTCTCTTCGGTGTCCTTTGGAGACCAGTGTCTGCATACCACCCCGTGAGGCATTGGCAGGGCTTCAGCTCTGGGTGGTGACCTACTTCTGCTGCAAATTTTCTAGGCATTTGGAGTCCCTGCCAGCAATGTGGAGGAGTACGCAGTGAGCCAGCAAAACCCAGAATGTTAGAAGGAGGCTGGTATCTCCCAGAGCTAGGTCAGAAGCACTGACAGGACATTAAATAACAATATCGCATAGACCGAGAAACACACTCTCTTCCCAGATCTATTTCAGTCCTTCTGATTGATCAAAGAGCAAGCCTTATGTCTTCTTTCAACAGAAAGCAGGAGTGGCTCTTGGAAGTCTAGCTGACGGTGGGCAAGAAGATCTGGCTAGAATTTAATAACGTTTAGTTTTCACTGGTGGCCAGTGAGATTGCATTTTCATTTATGGTAATGAAGTCAAATTTCCTTTATTAATAAATATATGTGTGTCAGAAAAGGACTGAGTTTGAAGAAGAATATTTAATCGTCCATTGTCCAGGCGGTGGTGCTACATACGGCCAAATCATGAAGCAGGTAGGACAAGGGTGCTCAGCTGGGGAGGGGCCCTCGCTGCTGCGACACCTGCAGACCTCTGCTGAGAGCCTTGAGCAGGCAAGGGACGGTGATGACCCTCCTCTCACAAAGGTGAGTTCTGAAGGCCACAGGTTGTCTCAGTGTTTCCCCTTTGCTCCCTGCCCCTTGTCAATTGTCTTTGGCTGATGCCTGCCCTATTTGTGTACAGGAAAAGGAGAGGAATAGTTGAGCAACTTCACTGAACACACTGTACCCACTTAGGCATGAACTCCCCCTGCCTCAGGAATCGCTTCCCAAGTCTAGACCTAGAGCCTTTATTTATTTATTTATTTATTTATTTATTTATTTTTATTTTTGAGACAGGGTCTTATTCTGTCACCCAAGCTGGAGTGCAGCAGTGTGATCTTGGCTCACTGAAACCTTTGTCTCCTGGGTTCAAACTGTTTTCCTGCCTCAGCCTCCCTAGTAGCTAAGACTATAGGTGTGCGCCACCATGCCCAGCTAATTTTTGTGTTTTTAGTGGAGATGGAGTTTTGTCATGTTGGTTAGGCTGGTCTCCACTCCTGACATCAAGTGATTTGCCCACCTCAGCCTCCCAAAGTGCTGGGCTTACAGGCAGGAGCCACCATGCCTGGCCTGGATCTAGATCCTTTTCAACCAATCCTGGAGGCAGCCACGAAGGCCAGGCAACATGCCCTGTCTTGCACGTTCAGGATCTGCTCTCTCTGCAAAGCATGACCACTGTGTGTCACTGGGCAGACCAGGGGAGTGACCTTAAGTATGGATGATACAGCCTCCCACCCCTCCCCAAGTCTTTCAGGGGCCAGCTACCTCTCGGTTGAAGGATAATCACTCACGTGGCCTATGCCTGTGTTGGACACAAGTGAAAGGCAGGGGAGAACTGGGGACTGGCAGAACAAGGGAGGTGACTTCTCCAGCACCTCCGTCTTCCCCTCCACAGCTGGGCATGCTGCTCAAGCAACTGCTTTTCGGCAGAGGGGCAGCCAGAGACGTCTCTTGTTCACAGCTTACACAGTAAAGATTCTTCCAGAACACTTTTTTTAAAAACACAACTTTGAGCCCTGAGTTTTTAGTCATTCTATTATAAGGTACAATTTTAAAGTGCTGTTTTGTTTTCTTATGACTTTCTTTTCTAAGGGAGAGTGAGTGTGTATGCTTGGCTCTGTGGCCCTTGCTTGGCAGCAGAAGCCTTTCAGTCTGGGTCAGCGTCCTCCCTGCCCCCACGTCTCTCTGGCCTCACCATTTGGCTGGCTTCCACCCATCAGCCTTCTCTCCTTGCCTAGGAAGCAGAAGTGTTGGTGAATTAACAGCCTTCAGGCTGGGCATGGTGGCTCACATCTGTAATCCCAATATTTTGGGAGGCTGAGGTGGGCGAATCACCTGAGGTCAGGAGTTTGAGACCAGCCTGGCCAACAAGGTGAAACCCCATCTCTACTAAAAATATAAAAATTAGCTGAGTGTGGTGGCGCACGCCTGTAGTTCCAGGTACTCAGGAGGTTGAGGCAGGAGAATTGCTTGAAACTGGGAGGCAGAGATTGTGGTGAGCCAAAATTGTGCCACTGCACTCCAGTCTGGGTGACAGAGTGAGACTCCACCTCAAAACAAAAACAGAAAAACAAACACAAAAGAATTAACAGCCTTCAACCAAAGCTGACAAGAATTAGTATACAAGTACTAGGAGGTATGTACACTACACTGGCTCCTAGGGTTTCCCAGTAGGATTAAGCTATTTTATCTGAATCCTTGTGCTGTGGTTTGAATATGTCCCCTAAAAAAAAAAAGCATGTCTTGGAAACTTAATTCCAATACAACCATGTCAGGAGGTGGGGCCTAATGGGAGGTATTTAGATTAAAAGGGCTGTATCCTCATGAATGGATCAATGCTTATTATAAAAGGACTTGAGGCTGTGAGTTTGGTGAGTTTGATCTCTCTCTCTCTCTCTCTCTCTCTCACCTTTCCACTTTCTGCCATGGCATGACACAGCATAAAGGCCCTGTGGGCTTATTGATCTTGGACTTCCCAGCTTAAATAAATGTCTGCAGATGTGACAGAACTGGGAGGGTGGTAATTTTTATTATAAATTACCCAGGCTGTGACATCGTGTTAATAGCAGTACAAAACAGACTAAGACACGTATTCTTAGGCTCTGCTTCTGGGGAGACCCCAAAATCAGACGTAAGCATATTGCTGGAGTAAAAACTAAGTCCTCCATTTTAATCTTTAGGAGATTCTTTCATACACTCAAGTTGTATAGAATATCTTACATGTGAACATTCCCATTAAAACGAATCTCAGCACTTTGGGAGGCCAAAGTAGGTGGATTGCTTGAGCGCAGGAGTTCAAGATAAGCCCGGGCAACATAGTGAGACTCTATCTCTACAAAAAATACAAAAAATTAGCTGGGCGTGGTGGTGCATACCTATAGTCCCAGCTACTTGAGAGGCTGAGGGGGGAGGATTGCTTGAGTCCAGGAGGCAGAGGTTGCAGTTGACATCAATTAAGCCCAAGATGTCTTACTCCAACAGATGTTTAGGGTAAAATTTGTAACTCAGGGCACAAACATCAGTCTAATGGCAGGCATACCTCTGAAGTGCAGAGAAGGCCTTGTTGCTCCTAGTGAACAGGACACTCTCCCTGACCTAAGCTGTCACAGACTTCTTTAGCTCTTGCTAGAACCTAGATGTTCGTCTTGTAGCAAGCCTGATATCCAGGGGCAAGGCAATCAGAGATAATTGAGGAAGAATGGAAATTATAGCTTGTGATGTCTTAGCTCATGGGTGGTCAGTTTGAGAAAGTAAAAAAAATGAAACCATGCTGTGGCTTCTAAAGAGAAGCTGGGAGCTATGGAAGGAGATTTATCTAAAAACAGGTTTATTCCCCCAGTGGAAAACTTACTGGATAACCTGGAACTTGGAGCCACATGTCCTAGTCACTTGCTGTAGTATCATGCACACTCCTACTTCCTGACATGCCATTCTTCTGATAGGAAATCCTTCTCTAGCACTTAAGACATGGCTTAAACATTGCCTTTTCTAGGTTTTCTATGAAGCAAATCCATGTTCATGCTGGGGATATAGGTTGTCAAGAACTGTGAAGAGTCTGCAATTTTACACTACTTGCAAGCTAACAAGTTTTATAAACTACTATAGTTTTATGGCTGCTGGCAGAAGACAGGAGACTCTTGGCTCAGAGACAAAGGACTTTGTCATTTACAGATATAGCATTAGCCAGAGTATCAGCAGTTGAGCCAGTTCCCTGAGCCCCAATTCCCACAGGGTGATACAAAGGAGACCACATGTCACTTGTTAATTACATTACAAGAGAGCAACCCTGAACTCAGGGAGTCTGAATCTTTTATAATGGGCAATAAGTATGTCTGCCCTCTGGTCCAGCAGGAGACAATATCTCTATCTTCTAAAAGCTCTTCACTTTTCAGAGACGGAACCTATCTCTTGGGTGCTTACGATGATTAAGTGACTAACTATTTCCAAAGTGTTTAGAATAGTACTTGGAACATTAAAAATTCTATGTGTTTAAAAAATAAGAACATTTTCAAACATTCCTTTTTTTTTTTTTTTAAAGGTAATCAGTTATTTAATTAGATTATTAGGACATTTAAAACACCAATTTGTGAGGATAAATTCCATTTGTCAGGGCAAACACAGATCGCAGGTAGCCCTGGAGCTGAGGAATAGCTTTGATTTTTGGTAGAACTTGTGAGTCCACAGCTTTCTGATCAATCTTGCGCTGCTCTGTTATCTCGTATTTCTCTTTTTCTGTGTCGAAGATCTCACCTTCCTGGTGTCTGGGCTTCCGCAGCTTCTTCTTCTTAAAATAACCATCAGTAAGATGTTTTGGGATTTTTACATTGCTGATATCAATTTTGGTTGAGGTGGCAATGACAAATTTCTGGTGCGTTCTTCGCAGAGGAACACGATTGAGGACCAGAGGTCCAGTCACAAGTAACAAGCCACTAGCCAGCTGCTTCAGGAAAACCACCCTCTTGCCCCTGTGGCGACGAGTGAGGATGATCAGAATGGTCCCGGGGGTAATGCTGGCTCGCAGTTTTCTCACGTGCTGACTAAAGGGTTTTTTGCCGTGGCTCAACAGCTTTCGAGGCACATCTTCAGTAGGATAATACCTAGGCATTTTGCGAAGTTTAACCACCCGGGTGCCGCCGTTTTTGTCACCACCAACTGGTTTTGTAACAGTTGCAAGAACCTTTTCTTTCTTTTTCTTTTCAACCTTGGATTTAGCCGCTGAGTACTTCCTCTTGTACAAGGCTTTTCTGGAATACATGGCAGATCGGGAATACCTGCCAATTCCTCTGACAAGAACAGGATTGCGGCTGCAATGGGGCTTCCCCTTCTTGGGCTTTTTTTTAGCCTTGAGGCTAGCCTTTTTCACTTTGCTACCAGCATCAGCCTTCTTGGCTTCAGGTTTCTTCTCTTTAGTATCCGGCTTCTCAACTTTTTCACCGGCCATCTTGCAAGATGGGAAAGAGCTCAAACATTCTTAAATAATAGGAACAAAGGGAGTCATGCCTCTGCTCAAAGATGTGCAGAAACATGAGAGACCCATGCCAAATTATCTTCCACCATAGATCAAACCTAGAGGACTGTTGTAATCAAGTCAATAAACAATTTAGTGGTTAAGAACACACATTGCATGAGTTTGAATCCCAACCCCACCGTGTATTAGCTATGTGACTTGGGTAAGTTATATAATTGACCTGTGCCTCAGTTTCACCCTATGTAAGATGGGAATAGCGATGGAACCTATTTCTTGGGTGCTTACGATGATTAAGTGACTAAATATTTCCAAAGTGCTTAGAATAGTACTTGGAACATTAAAAATTCTATGTGTTAAAAAAATACGAAATAGAAAGTAGTCAATGTATTCCCTGATGGCTTGTAGCTAGGACCCCATGTCCATTGTGACAGTCTCATCAAACGCAGGCTGAAGTATCTCAGCTAGGAAATGAAGTCCATAGTTCACATAAACGCTGGGAAATTTGAGTGCATTTCCTCATTATGACAGGTGTAATGGGCATAATCAGTGGGAAATTCAATTTAAAAATGATCATATT